GGAGGGGAGGGAGACGGAGGGGGGTGTACTTTGTTTTGGTTGCGTGCCCGACGGAAGGGTCTTGGGACCGGCGCTTCTGGAAGCCTTGGGAGAAAAGGATGAGGGTTCCGAGGAGTTCGAAGCGGCAGCACATGTGGGCAAGAAGAGGGTGTCTGGTTGGTGAAGTGGTCTGCGAAAGTTGAGGTGGTGGTTTGTTTGTCTCGGTCTTCCTTGGGGAGTTTGGTGGTTGTTGATAACAAAAGAATTTCTGCGATCAAGTCAAGAGCAAGAGAAAGAAAGAAAAAATAACCAATTCCTCAAAATTCGCCGTGAAACAGCCCAGCGGCATCGCGGTCGGGTGACTTGGACGCGACCAACTGCTGTACTTGGTGCTGTACTGCAGGTTAGGTGTGGAGTTGTCGCCGTCGAGGTTCTTGCCTTTTGCGCCGCTGCTGCCGTCGCGATAGGCCCTTGGCTTTCCCCGCAACGCGCTCCAAGCGCCAAGTTTGGAGACGCGACAGGGGGGAAAGCTTGAAATTCAGGGCACGGGTCACTGTGTTTCTCACCGCCAGCCCAACAACTTTTTCATCCCTTCACCGTCCTCAACTTTTAAAACAACAGAAAAGAATATCGATCAATTATGTCCCCTCCTGCTCCTGATACGCATCTAAGTTAAGTACTCGTCAATCTGACCAAACCAATAAAAACATGAACCTAGGTATGCAACTCCGAACCCCCCATACCAGCCCCCTAATGCTTCCCATTCAGCGCCCCCGACATTCCCGCCGCCGGCTGCTTCCCCTCGACCACCGTCGCAAAGCTATCGACCGACTGATTCGAACTTCCCACCGGCATCAAGCTCGTCGACCCCCCCGCCGCGACCACCGACCCCTCCCCGGGCGCAACACCGCCGTCACCACCGCCAACGACAACCTGCTGCCCGCTCGCCGTGTGTCCAACGACCATGCCCTTCGCAACGCTCTTGATGATCGCCCGTCTCGACACGCCCGTGACATCGATATACACCAACCCGACATTCTTGACCCCCGCCCCGACATCCCTCGTCAGCCCGCCCGCCTCGTCGCCCCACCGGTGCCCGACCACCGTCGCCGCCGCGTCCGACGTCGACGCCAGCAGGTGCCGACTCGCCTGCTCCACGCCGTCCATCACGGTCGAAAACGCCATGAGGCTCTTGTTGAGCAAGCCCGGCTTGTAGTCGTCGCGCGGCCGCCCCTCGGCATCAAAGCCCTTGTGCCCACCAGCGCCGCCCTCGGCCGACTTCTTGGCGTGGCCGCCGAGCGTGGCGCCGACGCGCTGCGCGACGCTGCCAATCTGCCCGACCGTCTTGGCCGACAGGCTGGCGGCGTTGCTCGTGACCGTGTTGATGCGCCGCACGTGCTCCTTGGTCGTGGGCTTGAACGACATGGGCTTGGCCGCCGGCTGCGTCTTCTTGGTGAAGCTGTCGGCCTGGCCCTGCAGCGCCTTGGCGAGCATGTCGGAGCCCGTGATGATGAGCCGCGACGCGGCCGACGCGTTGGACACGAGGAACGACCGCTTGTAGGCCGGGTGCAGCTCGGCTTCGAGGAATTCTTGCGAGACGGGCGCGATGCCGATGAGCTGGCCGCCGTCGGACGGGAGCGTGATTTCGACGGGGTCTGGGAGGTGTGTTAGGTAAGTTGAGAGACAGAGGGGAGGGGGGACGAACCTTTGGACCCGGGCTGCAGCTTGCTGTCCTCCTTGATCTGAAAGTTGTCGGCCAGCTCGCCAATCACGCTGCCGTCCTCCTCGTCCACCAGCACAATCTGGCCGCCCTGGCCGCCGCCCGTCGCGCTGTGGCTCCCGCGCGCGTACGCCTGGCCGGGCATGTAGTCGGCGGGGTTGTAGGCCGGCAGGTCCTCCGAGGTCTTGCCCTTGCTCGACGACGAGGGCGAGCCCTTCTTGCGGCTGGTCTTGGGCGGCGGGGCGCGCTCCAGGAAGGCGGTGCACTGGGCCAGGATGGTCTCGAACGTGTCGACATCCTCCTGGATGCCCTTGCGGCTCTCGACGCTGGGGAACTCGATGCGCGTGAAGGCGCCGCTGTCGGGGCCCAGGTCCCAGCGCGGGATGAGGTAGCTGCGCGGCGGCTTGTGGTAGATCTGCGTGGTGGCCGGCAGCGGGAGGTCCAGCTCGGGCGGGAGGTGGAGGTGCAGGTAAAAGTCCTGCTCGGCGTTGGCGCCGTCGGGGTCGAGGGCCGGGTCGGCGAAGGCGGACGTGGTCGGCACCATGAGCAGCGACAGCGTCTGCGGGCCGGCGGGCGTCAGCGACTCCTCCTTGCCATTGGCGATGTGGTAGGCCGAGACGTCCTTGATGGCGTAGAGCAGCTTGGGGTCCTGGCAGGGGAGCCGATGTCAGCGAACCATGCCGATGTGGTGGTGTCTCTCTCTTACATTGTGACTTGCCGCCATCTTGACTGTCGCACCGCTTCGATGACGTCGGCTCGACTGGACTGGGGAGATGCGACAACAAGACGCAATGTTGCGACGGGTGCGCGGCAAAAGAAGTACCAAGAGGAGGCCAAGAAATTGTGCAAAAAATGCCAGATATTTCCCCTCTTTAGGATTTGGCTGAGATGGCAAACGGCAATTATCCCCTCAAGAACAGAGCCAAGTAGATGATGTGTCGACAGAGAGGGGTTCGTTGGTGTTGTTGAAAATAGCATGGACCATCCTGGCCATCACCCCGCCAGGCCCGCGCTTAAAGCTTGCCTCTGTGTGGATACGCGCGAGGCCTCTGGAAGCCAAGGGGACGTCATTGGCCGCGTGGACGCTGGTCAAGCGCCTCGCCTCTTGATCTCATCCCCTCCCCCTCATCCCCTCATCCTCACCCCCCACACAAACCTTTTCTCTGGTGTGGTGCCAGTTTGTCGAGGCAGAACCTACACTCCAGTACTGGTTTGCTTGTTAGCGGGAGACCTCGTGCCAAAGAAGTGAGACCTCTCGCGATGGAGGCTATGGCCTGCTTCTAACAGGACGTCTCCAATTACGACTCCAGGATAGTCTGCAAAATCATTGGTGTCCAGTTCCATCTCCGGCCGTGGACAGCAAAAGTCCAGGAGTCCAGTTCCCAAGGCCTTCATCGAGTGTAGCTAGTATCTCGGATGTCTCGAGCTAACAAACAGACCAGTATCGGATTGTACCTGGCAGAGGCACAGGGGGCGAGGGAGGGGGCTTGTCAAACGTGATCTGCCTGCGGTTTCGTGGCGGGGTGGTTGAGGCCGAAACAATGAGTCTCGTTGCGAAGATGAGCATTATTCTCGACGGATTGAACGCATTGAACCCAATGCCCGTCTCGGGATGCCTCATGGGGAGCCTTGAGGCTTTTTTCCATCTCGAAAAATGTGACGGGTGCCCATCAACGAGGAGGTCAACGAAGTCTGCGGAGCGGCCGACTTGCAGTCCCTCAAAGGCGGCCCCTTGCAGATTACCGTATAATGCCCCAAACTGTCTCGCCGATGCTCTCTGCTTGGTTCCATATTCCGTCCATGAGACGAACAGACATATGTAAACCTCGCCGTCTCCCCCCTCCAATCTGCACTCCTCCAACAACACGAACAACCGCCTCCCCAAGCCTCGCTGTCCCCCAGTTTCAAGACCCCTCCTCGAGTCGCACATGGAGGTCTCTTGCACGACTCGCCGACGATCAAAGATAGCTCGTTCCCCGCCGTCCGTCCGTCCACGTTGGCTGGGGCTGCAGCCGGCCATTCTCGCGCGTTTCAATGTCAATCAGTGACCCGTCCCGAGTCTCTTGGCCCGTCATGCCACGTCGTACCGCCTTTGCCCGCCCGTACGTAGCAGGAGAAAAAAGTCGTGTTCCTCCTTGCTGAGGGACACACCGCACCACGCCTTTCTACCCCAAGAGACACGATGCGGCGCGGGTACGTGGCTGCGTGGTGCTGGATCTCGAGGGTTGAGCCGTGACATCTTCCCGGAAAAGGGCCCCGGATCAATCAACACTCGTCGACGCAGCCGAGTGGCTGCAGAGATAAGAGAGAGAGATCCCGATTCGGGTCCTCTGGTGGGTGGCGAGTGCCGGACTTGGGCGGTCCATCATCCGTTCGAAAAGGAACTCTTCCAATGATGGGAGGGGAAATACCCGAAAGGGACAGCCAGACAGACAGATCAGGGCGGGACACAGTTTCGCCATCCGGCCGGTTCCTCGTCCTGTCCTGTGCCTGTGCCTGTGTGTGAGGATGATGCGATGCGGTGCGGTGCCAGCGGCCACGGAAACCAACAAGAGTCGGTCGTCGCGCGGACTCGGACCCGGGAGGACGCTCTCTTCTGCATGGTCTGCAGGAGGGCGCGATCCGGGGGCAGGCAAAGGGGACGAGGCGCCCGTCCATTATTAGCTGTTGTTTTGCAAGACTGGAGGGAAAGAAAGGAGAGAACAGCAGAGTTGGGATACACGGCAGCAGGCCGGCAGCCAAAGAGCGACGGCGGCGGCTGGAATGCCTGATCGAAGCCCGACAGGGCATCAACACCCGGAGTTCCGTGAAATCTGGTGTCTCACCCACCGCCTTGGGGGATTCGTTTGTGGTGTTGCACCGCAGGAGAGCACGGCGGGAGAGGACCGACCCCCCCCCCCCTCTCCCCCTCTCTTCTTGCCAGAGGCGGGAGACGGGGACGGCGCACCGAGTGATGAGTGTGCAAGGCCAAAGGCCTGGGCGTCGCACTCGACGCCCAGAGAGGAGAAAGTCCCCTCTTGCTGCTCTCTGCCGTCCCAGGCGTGGGCCGTCGATGCGCTTGCCGAGGTCGGCAAGACTGGACAGAGAGGGTCGAAGTGTGGTTCATGTTCGGATGCGAACGGCCAGAAAGGGTTTCTTTGGAATATGTGTGCCGTAGTTGGAACTGCTGAATTGTGATTCGTTAGCTTTTCCCCCACGACCCACAGGTTCTAGTTGATAAGTTTGTACAAAATCCGTAGCCGTTTTGCACATGGAAATCGTCGGCTACCAAATATGCTTTATTTACATACATACTTCCCATGGACACATGGTGTAATGGTTACATACCCGGAGTTTTCTTATTAACCAGGCACCGCGGAGTAGCTGGTTCGATTCCAGCTGTGTCCATCTTTTTGTCTTTTCTTCATTTTTGTATTTGGCAGATTCTTCTGCCTTGGACACCACCAACAATCGCGTATTCTCCGATATTCGTGCCTTATGAGTGTGCCACATTTTCGCTCTTGGGGCACGGAATCGACGGTGCTGGCGATGGCGGCGATGGCAGCGAAGCCGCTCGTCTCGTCGTCCGGGCCCGTCTCAGAATCACGGCAGCGGGCACTCGGTGGGTGGTCAAAGGAATGGTGCAAATCATCAACGTATCATAGCTGTCTGCCTACCCAAGAAAATGGAAATAAACGCAATGCTGCCCACGTAATCCCCACTGCCACTGTCCTCTACTCTGCGCCCTACATCCCCCAGTAGCCTACATGTTTTCATCTTGGCTCAAGGCATGGTACCAAGATCGGAACGTTCGTGCGCCCACCGAACGCTCCATCTCAAGGTACCAGTTGTTTAATCTCCGATGGGTTCTTAGCTCAACGTCTTGGATGCGTTCGACGTCAAGCAACCAGGCACCTCGGTTTGAAGAGAGGAGAGCAAGAAGACGAGAAGAACAGACGGGGGCGAGGGCATTTATAGAGGAGAGTTGACCCGTGCGAGCCAGCAAATTTTTAGATGTATCGAACCTTCCAAAACGCAAACCATCTTGTGCAGGGCAGGCTGCCAGAAGTGGCAGGGAGAGTCACTCCCAACAGCAGTTTAAAGGAGGAAGGTGTGCTCTGCCTAAGGAAGCCCCATCCTACATGTCAAGAAGGCTCCATTCCATTTCAGTAATCGTAGCTGCACGTTCAGGGCATACGCCAGCTAAAAACAGCAGTCCAAACCACGGCACATGGTCCCTCAGTGGAAGGCGTGCCCAGTGGAAATGAAAAATAAATGCAAAATATGCGGCATCGGACTCGGACTCGGGACCTTTTTTGAAGTGTCCGGGCGATGGTCACCGCGAAGGCTGGGAGATGCATGTGCTCCAGTCGAGGCAAAGAGAGCAAATAAGGGGGGGAAAAAACAGAAAAATAAGTACTCTGATGGAGAGAGCTGAAAGCTTGAAGTCGCCGAACCCAAGCCCTCTCGGCACTCACTGCATCCCCAAACCACCACCTTTCCCCTTGGGCTCTAGCTCAACGACCACCCCCCTGAATCCCCTCCCGTTCAGCGTGGGGTGGAGCTCGGGGTAGGAGGAGCCGACCAATGCCCGCCGGTGGCATCGATCATAATAATCCAACGACGTGCAAGCTCGCAAGGACAAAAAGAAAAGAGAAAAGTTCCAGGTGATGGGATCAGAAGAAGAAAGCTGAGACCTGCTCCCCTCAAAAACCGGGCACCGGGAAACGGGCTCTGCGGCGGTGTGGACGGTGGAGGACGGACAGCGACGGGCAATGTTTCGTCTCCTGGAACAAAGGCGCCGTCGCTCCGTCCATCCTCCGTGGCCCGTGGTCCGTTCGGAGGGTGCTCCGTGCAACCCAACCGAGCCACCACAGGAGTCGGTGGGACATTTCAATCCAACGGGATGATAGAAAGGTTCTGTTTGACGCCGTCGAGAGGATAGGGAGGTATGTAGGATGCTGCAGCCAAACCTTTGATGGATGGGTGTGGAAGCTTGCAAACGGCCTCGAGTGCAGTGGCTATCCGAACCACAGAGTGATGAGATGGAGGTGCTCCGGGAGTTGACTTTTGGGGTGCCATTGAATAGGTAAAATGGGCTGGGGGTGATGAGGGGGGGGGGTCTTGGCCGCCCCGAGGTGAGCTCTCCGGGCGGTGATGGACGCTGTGCCGGCCCCCCATTTCAGAAGAATGGAAAGGGCGAGAGCAGTGCAAAGCGTCCATCGTCGCCAATTCGGAAATCCCATCTGCAATTCATCCCTCTCCATCCCAGCACCCAGCTCCAGCACCAGCACCAACGGGCACACCTCGATATCAACACCAACCAACCCCAGGTCGACTCTCCCGGGTCCCGTCCCGTTTGCATTCCATCTTCAGGGACCTCCCTTTCCCGACAGGACAACGACAAGCCCAAAACACCAAACACTCCAAACCCGACACCGACGGGCATCACATCGAGATTCGTCGACCGACACGACACAACGACGCCGACGACCCCAATAGGTGCTGGCGTGGTTTTATATGTCGCCGTCTGTGCCCGGCTAGGTTGTCACTCAGCCTGCGCCTGCACCCGCACCCGCCGTGTTTGCCTGCACCCTGGCAGCCCGGGGCCCGGCCAGCTCTGATTTCGGATTTCTGTGTGCCTCGTTTCTTCATGCTGTCAAACAGCCGAGCTCTGTCCTGTCTGCAGCCCGACCCTTTTCCTCGCCCTGCCCTCCTCCTCGTCCCGTCGCCGTCGCCGTCGCCGATTGTCCACTCGAATCACCTCTCACCTCTTTCGCTACTCGCTACTCGTATTCGACGACTCGACTCGACTCGACTCGACGACAAAACACGCCCGCGACGACAAACTTGACTCCCGCGACCTGCTCATTCGCCCACGACCGACACATCGAGCTCCCTGGGGCTTGAGCTTGCAGCAGCAGCAGCAGCAGCAGCAGCACCACCACCACCGCCGCCAGCTTGTCCCCGTCGCGCCGCGACACGGCCACCCTCCTCCGCACCACCACGTCCCCCCTCTCCCAGAACTACACCTGCGACGCCGCCCGCCGCCCGCCGCCCGCGTCCCCCGTCCCCCTCCGTCGCCTTCCGCAAACCCCACGCCCCCCGGGTCCGCGAGAACCGCCAGCAACGTTTCGCCGTCACATTGGCCCCCCGGGTACGCACGCTCGTTGCCAATCCCGTGTCGTCGACTCGTCCGCCCGCCGACGCGCACTACAGCACAGCACAGCACAGCACAGTCCAGAGTCCACAGTCTGTCCTGTCCAGACGACTGTCCAGACGAGACTGGAGACTGGAGAGCCCCGGCTGCCTGCATCTGCCGTGGATGCTGTCCCACCTCGCGCAGACGCCCGCCTCGCCCGCCTCTCTTGCCAACCTGCCCACCTCTGCCCGCCGTGTTCGCGCGACCGCCTGATTCTGCTCGTCGTCGTGCTCCTCCTGCCGCCCTGGTGCTCTCCCTATCCCGACTTGACGTCGCACCGCCTATCTCCTGATCTCGGATCACGGCCTGCCGTCCTATTTAGTTCCTCCGTGCGTGAGCGAGGCCAGACACGAGCCAGGGAAAAAAAGGGCCTACTAGGTGCCCGTCCTCCCCCCCCCCTCTCCCTCTGTGCCTGCAGAAACTCCTGCCGCCACCGCTTCGCGGTCTCTGCAGCCACCGCTCCCACTGTGGAGTATATACCCAGGCAAGGCATCGTCGCCTCGCCCTGTATTGCGCGGCGCGCCAGTTCAACGTACACACACCAGAGGGTCTCCTCGCGGGACCCCTCCGCCGTCACAATTGCTTCCCAGCTCCGCATCCAGTCCATCCTCTCCCCCGCCGACCCGCCTGACGCCGATGAGGCTTCAGCAACGTCGGCCACCACGTCGCACTCGCACCCCACCCCCAAGCGGAAATACCAGGACGCCTTCGCGGCGTCCCGCCGCCTCGAGCCCCCGACCGACCCCCCCGACCCGCCCGCCGCGTTGCCGAACCTGGCCCCCGACCGCCCCCCGCACCACCGACAGCCGCTGCCCCACAGCCCGCCCCGCCTCTCGGCCGGAGCCGGAGTCCGGGGGCACGCCCTGCCCGCCGATGACGAGCACCGGGCCCCGGGCGGCGCCACGATGATGGGGGGCAGCCCGGGCAGCCCCGGGGCCGCCGACAGCAAGAAGGGCATCAAGCGCCAGCCCCTGCGGTCCAGCATCGCCTGCCAGCGCTGCCGCAAGTCCAAGATCAAGTGCAACAACACGGGCGGCGACTCTCCGTGCGAGACGTGCATACGGAATGGCAAGGAGTGCACCTACCCTGAGGTGACGGCGGCTCCCCCCAAGCGGCCCGACCCGCCTACCGGTATCAAGATGGAGCAGGGTTCGGATCGAAAACGGCTACGCAAGCTCGACGACATCGCCAAGCTGGACGGCACCGTGTCGGCCGCTGCTCTCGCCGAGGAGGTTCTCTCGGCCCCGTACCTCTCCGAGGCGATATGGTCCCAGGTTTTTGACATATACCGCGTCCACTTTGCGACGGAGCTGCCGTTCCTCCACCTCGCCACCCTCAAGGAAAAGATGAACAGCAAGTTCCGGGCCAAGCAGAGCGACACGTCCCCCGAGATCAACCTCGTCCTCCTCGGCATCTTGACCCTGACGGCTCGATTCCACCCCACGTTGGTGTCGTACGTTACCACGCCCCGCACCGCCCCGGCGGGAGCAAGCGCGCCCAAGACAAGACCATCGAGTACCGGCCAGGATGCATCCGCCGCGTCCGAGTACTACGCCGAGGTCCTGACCAAGGCGCTTGGAGGGCTCCGCACTAGCATGACGGTGGCCTCTGTCGAGCGGGTGCAGGCCTTTTTGATGCTCGGCCTCTACGAGTGGAGCCAGTCACGCCCCAAGATTGGCGGCATGGCCGCCTGGATGTACGTGGGCGTCGCCATCCGCATGGCGCAGGCGCTGGGTCTTGGGGAGGGCGACAAGGAGCAGGAGAAGACGTTTAGGTCGACGGCCGCCCCCGTGGCCAAAGCCTCGATGACGCCGTCACAGATGATGATCGCCAAGGAAATACGACGACGCACCATGTTCAGCTGTTTGATCTTGGACCGGCTGCTGGGCTGCGGCAAGGGGAGGGTCTCGACGATACGCTCCGAGGATCTGCAAATACAGCTGCCCTGCTCCGAAGTGGCATTTGACCTGTCGGAGGATGTCTACACGGGCTTCCTGAAACCGCCATCAGACGATAAGCCGAGAGGGCCTATTAACGACAGCGTCCTCAGCCGCTTCGTCCGCCTGGTGGACATTTGGGGCGAGATCTCCAAGTGGAGCTTTGCTGGCGGTCGCTTTACCGAGAAGCACGCCCCGTGGAGCCCCGAGACGACGTTCTATCAACTGCGCGGCAAGCTCAAGCGGTTCTACGATGAGCTCCCCGAGCT